GGTTGCGAGGCATTCGAACACATAGCATACAATTAGCGCATATGCTTCATACATGGTGGTTGTCAATACAGAAGGTAGGTGCATGACGAAGCGAGCTGTGAGCAGCTGCTTCCGCGCATGGGTGATGAGGGATGTCGAGTCAGTGTGAGAGATGCACTCAGAGTGGTGTTGAGACCATGCGCACGTATGATAGCAGTCACTACGCACTTGCCTGCCGTGCGAGGGCAAGTAACAGAGGACTGCAGAGTTCAAGAGAAGTCCTAGCGTAGCAGGAATGTACGTGACGAATTGCGGAGCGCCTCAGCGGAGAGACCCTCACAATGGCCGCGTAGCCAAGAGGTATCTGACAGCGACACGTAAGATCAGTCTGCGCGTTTGCGAGAGCTCCTTCGTGTTGCTTTGGGCGCGGGAGAGGAGGTGCCGTGGGATCGCGTACCTCTAGCTGGTCCGTCAGCCGCTTGGATCGCTTCGATCTTTTCGTGCCGCTCCTTTTCTCGCGCAGCCGTGGCGTATATGTTGGCCGTGAAAGGTCTGTTATGGCCAGCATCAGCGGTCAGTGGACGTGCCGATCACATGTGCAGCGCAGTGATTGTTGCCTCTCACCCTTCGAAGCGCATTGCGACGATGTAGACGATGACCACCAAAACGGAGAGGATCACACCTGCAGGCTTGCCGAACCTGCGCAAGTTGTGGATGCACACATCCTGTCAGCTCGACGGCGCATCGCCACTTGTTGCACGATGCAATCGCCCTTTGCCTGCGCATGCAACATCCACTCACCAAAGCGCCACGCCAAAGAAGCACATGCTGCTGCCCACATACATGGGATCCGCTACGACGTTGAAGGGGAAGCCGGTGACGATGCTGGGCATAAGGATGCCAAAGTAGTCGCCAAGGTATGTTCCAGTCACGCCCAAGGCCCACATGGAAGTGATGACAAACACTTGTCCCACCGCAAAGATGGCTGCACCGCCCACTTTGGCAGCGGGATGGAGCAGTAGAGCATTGGCGGGCTGGGAAGCGATGGCGTGGTTGTAGAGATGATCCCTGAGGATGCCCAGCAGGAAGATGCTAGCTCCGAGCAGGTAGCATCCCAGGTACGTGTTGCCCCTCAGCAGCTTTGTAATCGTCTTGTTGCGATACTCGTTCTGCGCTACCAAATTCCAGTAGAGAGGGTTGAAGCAGATGCAAGCGGCTGCGATCCAAAAGTCGATCTGACTAAAGTCGACCACACCTGGAAAGAGGTAGGGGTTGTGCTTGTGACCGAGGAGGGACGACATGATGAGAATGGGTTGCGCGAGGGGCCCAAAGACTATGTGGTCCTTGCCATGTCCTCGCTTGCTCGGAACAGAGAGTCAACAGTAGAGCTGAGCTGAGCTGAGCTGAGATGGTGAGAGAAGTGAGGCAGCAGGCAACAAGCGTCGAAATGCAGCTTAGCTTCATGGACGCTCAAGTCAAGACTCGATCAAGGCCGTGTTCCTGCTTTCGCAGCAGAGGTCTGCTGCATATATGCCTGCATTCACAATCACGACGATTCGTGATTTTCCTTCTTCTTGAAAGAAACACAGCTCACACAGCAGCATGAGCTGCTTGCTGATCATGTCCCGGCGCGTGTCACAGCCGTCGCTCTCACGTGCGCGCGTCCGGGCGCGGCGGCGGGTTGCTAGATAGCGCATGTCATGGCTGCTGCCCGCCGCGCGGCTGTTTTGCTGGACTCCGCGGGCTTCAGCAACAGCACATGCAGCAGCCGACGCGATCGAGACGCGCGTTGCCAAGTAGATGTTGACGCGAGAGACTCACACATCAGACATCACTGCTGTCGCCGCTGCTGCTGCGTGCGCTGATGACGCTTCTGCAGCATGTGGTGTTGGTGTGTTGCTTCTGCGCATGTCTTGCTTTGCGGACTTTGGCTATATATGCTATTTAGCATTTCGACATTCGTGATCATGTATGACTATTCAGGATTGCGGCTTTTGTAAATACGCTCTGCAGGCTCAACTGTGAATCCGGAAGCGAGCTGAATTAAGAATTGAAGCCTGCGCACGACATGTGCATGCAAGGTGTGCAAATGACAAGTGAGTCGAGTGTATCATCTTGCTGTGTATAGATAGATATATACGTTGCTATACGTGAGATTGAGCAGTGTTTGCGAATGGGAGTCAAATATCAAGGTGAGCTATCCGAGGGCACAAGTAAGCAGTCAAAGTGGATGGTGCAAGCAGAAATGAGAACCGTTCAACGAGTGCTCCATGCATGCGCGGACCGTTGTTGCAAGGGTCGGCATTGACTCAACTTGAGATTTCTCAGTATTGTGCAGCTGCTCGCGTGATTCTATGTACACCCTTCCAACCCACTTGTGGACGTGCACTCGCGTCAATACTCTTTCCACCTTCACAACAGGTCACCGCATCCCAACCAACTCACCTCGGAGTGGTGCTCTGGTAGCTCAAAGATTGTGCCAGCAGACTCTCTTCGCAATCAGCATGGCCTCCTCGTCTGCTGCTGCCCTTGCTTCTGGCCAGCCTCTCAACGCATCTCCAAACATCAACCAGGGCTCCTTTGAAAGCGCTCGCCCTGACATCTCTGGAGATCGAAGTTGGACTCCAACGCTCTCCAGAGGTTCTCCGACAAAACGAGCTCGAAATGCTCCTAGTGCTAGTCCAGCTGGAGTCCCGAGCCAGTACGGGCCCGCGTCACCCGCACGTCGCCATTCGAGGCATGCCAATGCATCGAGCGGCGATGCTCTTGGCTCGCCCTCCAATGACCAGGAGAATCTTCCAGCTTTGCATCACGAACAGGTCGCTCGAGGACGCGCGACTTCTCCTTCGCCGATCTCCAGCAGCCAAAACCCTTCAGACTACAGGGGTGTAGAGCTTCACAGCGATGATCGCTCTCGGCACAGAAGGGTCAGTCCGAGCAAGGCCCTTCTGCAAAAGCTGCGTCGTTCGCCGAGCCCAAAGAGACGCAGTGTGGTCAGTGCGGGAGATCGTAAAAGCGTGGATGCAAGCGTGTATGCGTTACCCAACAATGCTGCGCAAACCCACAAGCGTACCAGCTCCGCGGCTCCTCCAACTCCGGATGTCGGTGCAGAGTTCGAGCAGCTCTTGGTGAGTGTCTGGGGGGCCGATGAACACGAGAAGCGGCGCAAGACGAGCAAGGCTGACAACCTCACTGCTCACCTTGTCATTTGGTCCATCACGATTCGATTTGTAATTTACCCTACCACGATTCCGGCGATCATTGTAGGACACGCTCGAGGTCCCTGCGCCCCTCCGATCCAAACTCGTTGCTCTGGATGCAGGCGTTAAAGCATCCATGCTCAAAGGCAATGCGACTCTCAATCTCAGCAGCTTTGGTCTCGACCCCAAGCGTCGTAGCCAGGTACTGGCCAGCGGCACGGGTGGTGTTTTATCATCGAACATGTACGGAATTCTTTCCCCTCAAGCCGGTGTAAACGCTGGCCAGAGCACTCCGCAGGACGTTTTCAGCGGTGTCAGTACCAGCAACCTTTTCTCGCCCGTCATGCCCAGCGCGCCTCTGGGTCCTGGTCAAGATGTCGGTGCCACTAAGCGACACAGTGGATCGTTCAATATGCAAGCTTCATCTTCCGCTCGAAGTTTGGCGACCGGCTCCAGCTCGGCTGTGAGCTGCGCCACGACGCTCAGATGTGCCCCAGCACCCTCGCTCGACGTGTCCCGCGTCAAGAGAATTCGAGCCGCGATCGCTTGCGAAACTCCCGTTTGGATCAATGACTTCTGCAATGCTGGCGGCTACGTAGCTCTGTGCGAAAGACTGGAGGAACTCTTGCAGATGGAATGGAGAGAGGAGCAGCATGACGACCACCTCTTACACGAGCTTCTGAGATGCTTTGTCGCCTTTGGGACTACCGAGGTGCGTAGTCTCACTATCGTCTGTCAGGAGTGCACCCGCTCACGTCAAGGCACCTTGATTGCTATGACGACCGCAGCGAGGCAAAGCCGCGTTGGTCAGCAGAGCGCCTGCGCCCTTCGCTCAGCTGTGCAGCCTTCTTTGGAGCGAGAAGAAGCCAGGCGATCTGACTACTCGGAGGTACTTGGTCGAAGTGCTCCTGATGTTGCCAGACCTCGATCTCGGAAAGGTACAGGCTCTGCCCCCTCGCGAAGGCTCCTCGCTCCACGTCTGCGCCCATCACAGACCAGGCCTGCAGCTACTATTGTCACTTGTGCACAACGAGCCCAACCCCACAGTGGAGACGATCGTTCATTTTGTCCGAGCTGGCCACGCTGCACGACCTTTCAAGGCGTGGATGTCTGAGCTGAGTGGAGTCTGCAGAGACTACTTCTGGATCTTTTGCCACTCTCAAAATAGATTCTGGCACTTGCCCGACGTGGACCAGAAGTCTGCTGCGGGCCCCAAAGTGCCTGGTGGTATGACTGGAGGAGTAGAGTTCGAAGCTATGGGCTATTTGGTGCGTGCACGACAGCTCCTTGCAGCTGCAGCAAGACGGTCACTGTCCTGGGAAGCTGACGACCCCTTCCCTTGGACGCCTACAGACAACGCAATTTCGAGTGATCAATCGCATTGGTGCTGAACTAAGCGTCCACGGTAGACGCCACTCTGATCATACGATACCACCTCCAGCCCTCGAATTCCACCAGCTTCTGTTCGCGAGCGGCATCGAGAGGGTGATCGCCACGCTGCGCAAAGCATCTCAAACGTACTATACACCCATGCATCTGGAACTAGCGCGCTACATCTCTCTTTCTGACGCTGTGGGGATGACAATGCCACCCAGCATCGATACATGGAGGCCTACTGCAGCACCAGCTCCATCGCTGGAGCGACAAATTCGCAACGCAGATTACGGCAGCTGGCTGAACATGAATACGCCTAGCCCACAGGGAACGCCAACCAAGCCAACAAAGGCGCCGGACCACAAATCCCCCGCACTTGCTGCTTCACGACCGCCAAACTCGAACTTCAAGGCAGTCGCTGTCAACCAGCGCGCCGCGGTGCCTAGCGATGTCATTAGACCGACGCAGCAACGCCGAGGTAGCGTGGAAAGTGTAGGAGTCGGAGTGGCTCGCAGTCCACCTGGCAGTCCCGACCGCAATCCCATTGTGCTGGCGCCTAGCACGTCACCAACGCCGAATTTTGGATCCTTCCTCCAACCCGAGGAAGCAGGCACTTCAGACACTACTACTATGACTACCCGTGATGCGGCGCTTGTCAAGCGTGTTTCCGACATGACGAGTCTGTATCCGCCGCTGGTGGAGGGCGAAAGGCTGCCCAATCCTCACCCTTCACCGGATCCCAGTGGAGATAGTAATGATGTGGGCAGCACAGGTACCAGGACCGCGAGCGAGCCATCCAGCAGCTTGCCGAGTACTGAGGTCCATCAGCCTGGCCAGGCGATTGGCTTTGGCCCGCTAGGCTGGGAGCTTGTCGACAACCCCAGAGCGCAACAGCAGACACTTCCCCAAGGTCTGCGACCAGGAGCTGCAGACAGTTTCGTTGGGTCGGCCATTCGCCAATGGGAACAACGCCGCGATGCATAGATCTGCCGAAGCGTGGTGACGTGTTTTCAAGGGCCCACTGGTGGGCTCTTCGCGCTATCGGCACGGCCAGTATCCATTGACTGGCGATCGAGTCCGCGTTTTCGTTCTTACCATCAGAATCTGTTCCATTCCGTACCAGTACTGTCCCATGACCCCTGTCTCCACATCGCTACTCCGCCTCATCTCCGCTTCTCACGCCACGATTTCAATGGTCGATACATAGATGACCTAGAGCAGAGTGCGATGTCGTGGCGTGATCAGAGATACAGCTCGCTGCGACTTTGGAAACTTTCTCACAACTAACGAGTCGGCGCCGGGAGCATCTACCAACATTTGAAAGGGGTGATGCGATTCTTGATTTGCATCAAACTCAAAAGGCAAGAGAATTTGAGCGCATGCATCGGAATTTTGTGTGACTTCTGGTGAGGCTTGGCCGCCGTTGCACTTTGTGCACGTGACGCCGATGTGGTTGGAGTGGTTGGTTGCACGCACGCGCATGCGAGCCAAAGCGAGACCCTCGATAGCACGTACCCCAGATTCGTGTCTCCCTCTCTCCACCTCTTAATCAACGAAACCACTGACGGCGCCTCGTCCATCGTCTGTCGACCGCAGCTGTGAAGCAAAATCGATGCGACGCTAAAAGTCTCGAGGTCCGCGTGGCACGTGTGGCGGTGAGGTTCAAGCAGTGCACTTGCACGCTGCAAACCAGCCGAAAGCGTTATCCAGGGTGGGCACGAGCGGATCATCTTTCAAGGCGCTGCTTCAGATCTGGCCTGCCTTCCAAGGCGGCCTGAACCTACGATGGACATTCATCGGACATCCTCCCCTCGGCCAGGTGCTCGCCGAGCTGCACCTGCGCTGCCTGCGTCTCCAGGCAGACCAGGCTCACCTTCTCTCGGTGCATCCGTGGATCACGGAGCCAGTGGCTCATCACATCGGCCATCCGGATCTGGAAACATCTTTTACAACTCTTCAGTCGACGAGTTTTGCCAGATCAAGACCTTTGACACGCCCAACTACTCCACCAAGGACTTGCTAGCTGGATTGAGCGACAAGCTGATCACGCAGAGCAAGGCGAATCCAGGCCGTGAGCATTCTGGCTGTTGGTGCTGCTTCCAGGAAGAGACGAGACATGGCCTTTGCTAACGCCTTGCCTGTGCCTACTTGCGTCTCTGTTTAGCCTTCAATCCTCGTCCATTCATCAGGACGTACGAGTCCGCTGTCGACTCTCTGCTGCAGCTGCGTTCCACAATCACCGCGCAAGAGTCCCAATTAGCTTCCACGGTGCAGGTATCGGAATCGGCCTACGCTGCAAAGCTAAAGGATCTCTCTTCCAACTTCGATAGCGTCTCTACGAGCTTTACGGGACTCGAAGATCGCTTCGCTGATGTGGGCCGTACGGCACTGCAGATCGGCGAGCAGCTGCAAACCATAGACAGACTCAGGACTCGGGCAGCGGAAGCCAGCGACTTGATCGAGTATTATTATCAGTTTGCAAGAGGGGACACGAGCAGATTGGATCGGCTGAGAAGAGAAGGCGGCAGAGAGGGTCGATTGAAGACTGCCGTTATAGCCAGGAGGCTTGGCGCCATCGCTCGAGAGGTCGACATGCCGGGAGCTGACAAGGTGATGAGCTCTCCAATCTGTTGGCTTTCTCGCGCCGCTGATGAACGTCTGCCGTCGCCGTTTCTCTGCTCCCTGAACAGACCCGCGATACCGTCGATGTGTTCTCAGAGAAGTTCGAGAGGGACATGCTCAAGCTCTTTGACAAGTTTTACAGGAAGTCCGACCCCAAGATGATGAGTCATATCGCCAAGGTGCTGCAAAACTTCAATGGCGGGCATTCCTGTGTACAGATCTACGTGAACCAGCACGACTTTTTCATCAGCAAAGATAGGGTAGGGGGTGCTGAGAGCGTTGGCGCAAGCGAGATGTGAGCATTTGTGAGGATGTGCTGCAATAGCGCTTCCGCCCTGCTGACTGCTTCTTTGTCTAGCTGGACCACCATTTCAGACCCCGACGCGCCAGCACCCAAGGTGGAAGCTGGACTTGCCCAGCTGTTTGCGGAGATCAAGCAGACAGTGGAGATAGAAGCGCAGATCATTCAGGCTGTCTTTCCGTCCCCTCTCCTCGTGATGAGCACATTCCTTCAGCGAGTCTTTGCTCAAAGCATTCAGTTGCATGTGGAGCGCTTGATGGAGAAAGCTGCAGAGGTTGGTGCTGTTAGCAACGGAGTTGCGGGTCAAAGTGGTACATCGGCGCCAACTGCAGCCGGAGCGTTGGCCGGCTCTGATCCGAGCACGGGGCCGGGTAGCAGCTCTTTGGCATTTCTGCGCACCCTTCACATGGCGCGCTCCATGGCTCTGGCCCTGGTCACAGAGCTCAAAGTGTACGACTATCGCTCGGCAGATGCCGGTGGAAGTTCATCTGCGAATCGTAGCACATTCCAAGATGCCAGCTCTTTCTCCCTGCTTGGAGGGCACACGCTTCTAGGCAGCAATAGCTCTAGCGCTGCTGCTGGTGGAGGCAGTGCACTAGGCTCGATGCTGGATCAGGCAGTCGAAGAGCTTTTTGTACCTTATATGGAGGGTATCAGATACTTGGAAAGGGAGAGCCGAAGTCTGACAGATCTCTACGCGGCTTACCTGCTCCGCTTCAGCAATGCGCACGTAAGTACTGCCATCATGCCGTAGTGTCGCCTAATCTTTTGGTGACGCTCGCTGATTACGATCGCACTTGTGTTCGACAGCGCTCAGCCCCACAGATCAAGACGTCTACCATTTTCGATCGAGTGAGAGCACAGGTGCAAGCTGCTTCCACTAGCTCTGCCAGTTCGCTGCAGCCCTCTTCCGCAGGCAGTACGGCCAGCGCTGCGACCAGCTTGACAGCAGGGGCCGGTCCCGGCGCAAGTTCTTCCATCCCGGCTACAAAGTCTACCTTTGGCTTCTCCAAGCTTTCTGGGCTGGTCGATCGAGCGCGTGGCGGAACGTCGTCGGCCGAACCTGCTGGCACATTGACTGTAGCGCCCGAAGTTTCCACCGAGAGTGGAGGTCTCTCTGCCACAGGAGCCGAGGACGGGGATGGTGATCTGAGTCTGGAGGTGGCGGAGAGGATGCTCAGATGGCACGCAGAGGCAATTGGGCGTTGCGTTGATCTTAGCCCAGCTTCTGACATGTGAGTAAAATAGGCTGCACACTCGACTTTGTTTTTTTTTTCTGTTTTTCTCTTTGACCTCGTAACCCTGACGATGATGCGCGGTTCCCAGCCCCAAAAATGCTTTTGCGCTTCTCAAAGTGCTTGTGGAAGCTTTCTTCCAGCTCTACGTCGAAGTGGCACTCGACTCTGCACAAACGACTGTCAACGGCCAGGACGTCCGCAGTACCAGCCTGCCCGATTTGTCTTACCTAAGCGTTCTCAGATCCGTAGAGCTCATCACGCAGTTGTGGCAGCACTACGTGAACACTGCGCTACTCCCTCTGGCGAGCTCCAGCGTGACAATTCGTCGAGAGATGGCCATCTATAACAATCACTGTCTCCTGAAAACGGAAGGCAAGTGCGATGCTGTGCTGCAGAAAAGCGTGGACAGTGAGTCGCATGGCAAGCTGGGTGCATTGCAAATTGTCTTGTTACTAAACGGTCGGGTCAATCATTCTAGACATCGTCGCGTTCTTGACAGCCAGGCTAGCGACACAGAAGAAAAACGACTTCACGCCGAAGAACGATGACGTTGCCTTCGCTCGCAGCAACACCGACGCGTGCGTTGCCTGTTGCGACGCACTCGGCCGGGTGGCATCCGCTGCGCGAAGACTCTTGGGAGGCGGCAAGAACAGCGAAGCCTTCTTGACGGAGGTCGGCGTGACTTTTCACGGGCTGTTGCTAGAGCATTTCAAGAAGTTCACAATCAGCGCCGATGGTGGTATTTTACTGGGACAGGATCTTAGCGCTTATCAAAGCGCGGTAGCTGCCTTCAATGTTCCAGCCCTTCAAGATCGTTTCGACATGCTCAGGCAGCTAGGCAATCTTTTGTGAGTCGCTCTTGGGTTCGTCGGAAGCTGCTGGCGCTGAAATTGCTTTTGTGCAATTCAGCTTTCTTCCGCCTGCCGTACTCAAGTCCTACATGCGCGAGGGTCACCTGGTGAGCGCTCTGTGGCTTTTGCACCTTTCTTTCGTCCTCACCTTACCGTTGTCGCATCTCGTCTTGTAGGCCAACATCGAAGAGCGACTTCTTCGTCCCTACCTTCTTCGACGGGCAGACTACGCCAAGGACATTCGGGATCTGGATACGAGCTCGGGATCCACCATGGGAGGTACGGTGCCTTCGAGCGCGTCGCATCCAGACGTCGAGTCCTTGTCTGTCTTCTCCGTGGGATCTGATCCCGGCGCTAAAGCCGACAAGCTGGCGCAGATCATGCTTGCGATGGAGAAGCGCGCGGGAAGTCATCCTGCAGCTGCTTGAGATTCTCGCGGTAGCACATTCAAGCCGCAATCGGAGGTGTAATTGTACGCGTGATCCAACGCAATGAGCACTCGATCGCATTCCACTTCTTGTTCTCCACTCATTGACGGAGCCCCGGCAGTCCAATCAGAGGCTTAGAGGATGTGCGCCCATTGTGGATTTGACAAACGCTGCTCACGACCAGAATGCGGGACATTTCTAGGAGCTGGAGCCCTCATTGAAGGTATTGAATGAGCATTGCTAAGCACGCATTTGACAAGTGCTAAGAATAAGGATGTAGTTGGCGGCGAACCAGCGTGCGAGGTGCGGAGGCCTTATCGTATCACCGACCACTCGGTGCTTGTGACGGTTCATCATCATCCAGCTCGTGTCCCCAATCATCATCGTCATTGTCGTCGTTGCGCCGCCTGGATGCTCCCACGCTGCGGTTCTCCTCATGAGCTGCTTCAAAGAGTACGTTCTCCTTTCCTTTCGCGTTGAAGCTGCCGCCTTGTTTCCTCTCCCTCTCACTGTGGAGATTGCTCAGTTCCACAGCGTCTGTGATGCCATTTTCAGCTTTTCTGGCATGACCGCCTCTTGAATTCTGCCCAGCCAGATTCTGCTCCTCACTTTCCCTCCATTTGTCGAAGCTCGGCCTGGCGCGTGCGACTTCAATGCTTGGTCTCATACCGAAGCCATCATCTGGAATCGTGGCCGCTGGAAGAGCTGTGGATGTCGAGACAGCTGCGGAAGGTCGCGCACCGCTGAAATTGGCCTCCATGGCGAACCTCATCTCGGGCGTGAGGAAGACTGTTAGATGAAGGAGAGAAAGTGGTCAGAGGAGCTATATCACGCGCGATGGATAGACATCCTCGACCCGCGTTGCGCTTGTGTGCACAGACTCACAGTAAAAACAAGCTGTGGCCAGGCAGCCTCCGCCAACGAGATCGACAAGGTAATGATGCATGAGGTACATGGTGCACCAATAGAGCCAAGCAGCGTAGCTCCAGTAGACGATCCTAGCATCGAGTCTGAGAACCTTCCTTGCGCTCCGTATTCCAGTTCCAGGGATTGGAAGTTCGAGCTGCACAGGGAAGAAGTAGCTGAGGAAGAGGGCTTCCATGGTTGCGCAGCCAGCATGTAGTGAAGGGAAAGCACCAAATGGAACAGGCGCGTTGGTAAAAGTCAGGGTGTAGCCATGCCCTCCGAATAGCTCGTCGATGCGGGCTAGACCGGCTGGAGACCCTTTCATGCCATAGTTGGCCGGTGTTAGGCCTTCCCTCAGCTCGTACCCTGCAGCATGAGCGGGATGGAAGTAAGGAGACACGTCAGTGCTGAGAAGGACGTGCAGCCATTGCTTTCTGTGCCCCCGGCCGCTTGACAGCTCCCCCTTCTCCTATTGCAATCGTCTTCAGCCTCGTATGACATACAGGGAGGAGCACACGGGAATCCCACTTGAACGAGCACACCCAGCAGATTCAAAAATCCAAAAGCGTTTCCGAACACTTTGGTAGCCGTCGGTGGTGCAAAAACGAAAAGGAGCGCAGCGACCACAAAGGGTGCCACAAAGTGTATGACACCATAGGGCAGCCAAGCCAAAATGTCGAGGGCTGGATGACCAAACCTGGTCAATATGTCTGAAATTGAGGCGCCGTACCAGATGGTCTCGAGCGTGGGCAAGACGGACACCCAAATGTGGGGTCTCGAAGCCGGATCCAAGAATTGAGAGGAATAGTAGAAGAGCAGCCAAGCGAGGATGGGTGTCGCGGGTAGGATGAACTGAGAAGAGATTGGAAGCAGAAGCGCGAGGATGTAGCTGGCTGGAAGGAAGAGTTTCAGAGGCATAGAAGGGACTTTCATGATGTACAGACTTCCCAGCGCCAAGCCTGTCAAGAAGCTGTACTTGATCCGCTCCCCTCGTGTAGCCTTCCAGGCTCGTAGACGAGAAATGGTGAGGGGAATGGATGTGGACGTTTCGAGTCGCGTTGCGGCTGCCAATATCCGAGTCAGAAGGTATTGTAGGGCGACGGGCAACTTGTGGAGTGCTCGAGGTAGCACGATGTGCACCTCCTGATCTCTTGCCCCTCCTGCTGGGCTGTATGCGCTCGATCCCGCGCCTGCATTGTGTGAGGACACCATGCCGGCAAGGGTAAGCGTCCTCTCTTTAGCTTCAGAATGCAGTATCAATTGTGGGGAGAGAGGATTTGGCAGAGCAAAGCGCGGTAGCGTAGCATTGCGAGCGTCGTGAGGGGAATTGATTGCGTTGAATACGTCGTCGTTGTCTTAGCTGATGTGAGAGGATTCAG